TGGAAAGTAGACAGCCTAGAGTATTGTATACAGTTTCTTTCATGAAAGTGTTAGGGTGATGACATTTTCTGGTTCAGCCTAGAGTTCTATAACTCCAAGAAACAAAAGATTTACATATAACATCCACTTCAGCTCTACACCAAGCAATCCTATAAGGCATCAAGTCCCAAGAGAGTAACTAGGAAGTCAAATGAACTAGAGAATGTGTTTCAATGAATAAAACAAATAATTGGAGGAAGCTACCAAACACTTCTATACATAATATTTCTGAGGCTGAAAATGAAGAAAAGACTCTAGTATTCCAGATTAACATATTCAAGTCACCATTTCCTCAAAGCAATTGTAATAGGTGGCATCCATGGTTCTCTACAGCAATTTAAATACTTTAAGCTTCAAGAGGAAAAAAAATATATTTTTACCCACTATCATCTACTTACAAATACCTTTTAACCTAGATTTTAAAACTTAGGATTCAGCAATCTATAAACCAATTTCCTTAATTATGTGAAGCTGAAAGAATACCCCTTACTCACAAAATTACTGAGTTTTAAATAAGATGCGATCTGCTATAAAAAAAAGATTCTCACAAAGAGAATGTTGAAACCTAAAGCCCTAAACTTTAATGTTGGACTTTACAAATATCCCAAGGCCACTAGATCTCCACCACTACCCTGTTCATTAAACATAACTTAAACTACACCATTTTAAAACTATGGACTCTGATTTCCAGTTATTCAAAATTTTTAAATATCCCAATCCTTCTCAACAAGTTCTATAACCTGAAAGGAAAACAAACAAATAAAAAGAAAAACCCTTAGGTTTTACTTTAACAAGTTTCACTCTTCCAAGAGCAACAGCTGAAAACTTATGTACTGTTCCTCTAAATCTTATTTGTGAATGCTTTTTCTAGAGTATTCATTGATTACCAACTCACATTCCAACAAAAAGGAACAAGTACAAACTCTGCGAACTAAATCCCTACTGAATTTCAACTTTCTGTCTCAAAATTATAATTACAACATAAGGAAATACTACCTTTAAAGGAAAAATGAAGAAAAAGTTCAAGAAAGGAGCTCAGGGATATTGTTCAGTGGTAGAACATGACCATCTTGTTCACAACTTTTTTTCAAGTAAATTGTGTGTGTGTGTGTGTGTGTGTGTGTGTGTGTGTACATACATACACTACAGAGGACTTTCTGACTTTCTAAAAATGTTATAAGCAAAAGCATTCAAACATACTCTTCCCTACTGCCATCAAAGTTCAGTGATTTTGTAAACCGTTTCTGCCTATAAACTTGGTTCATTCATATTAAATATTACTTGCCTGAATCACAGAAGGAGTGGTCTGACTCCCTGTTCTGAGTCAGAAAATACCAGGTTCAGCAGTTCTAAACTATTTTTCATTTGTAAAGGTGTTCTAAAACGCCAGCTTTTTCTAGCTCTAAATGTGACAGTTAAATTTTTGCCTTCATAAAGTCTTAGTGGTAATATTTAACATCTGTAATTTAATTTATAACTAACAAAGTGCTTTCACATGAATTTTCTCACAAGATCTTTACAATCTCCTAATTTAAGTACTACACACATCTCAACAGAGAAACAAAGTGGCAACTTCCAGTTGACTGTTAGCCCCAATACACTCCTCCCCTACCCCTCCCCCACAAAAAAATAAAAAATTAAAAAAAAAAAACATAAAAGGCTGCTGCATTTCTTTAATCACACTTCTCTCTCCCAGACATATCCCAGGTGCCTCATAAAAACTGTCTCAAAGCACACACCCTGGGGCCCCAAGAGTTTCAAGGCAAATCTGCCTCCCACATAAAAGCCTAGTTTAGGCCTCTAAGAGCCTGAAGTCAGCATCTCCCAAAACCACTGCTGTGCCTCCAGCTATTCAGCCTTCTCCATTAACTTCTATAGATCTCATCTGTACAAGCTGCTAGGTCACTATGTGGATAAGAGATCTCAAAGTGAGACCATCTATTGAGAGGGAAGTATGGTACAGAGAAATATCAGGACTTTTGAATCAAAAATACCTCAATTTTTAATCCAGCTTCCATATGTATTATCTGTGTGACCTGGGACAAATTACTCAACCTTTTGATTCTGTTTCTCTTTATCTCATCACCATGGGACCTCATCACCAAATTCCTAGTGCTTGGCAAACAGAAGCAACTCAAAATATGTCAAATCAATGCAAATGAAGGTTAACTAACTCCTTTATTGTGGTTGTGAGAATTAAATCAGAGCACATAAAAAAACACCTGTAGCATAGTAGGCACTTAATATTAATTAATCCCTGAACAGTGACAATACTATTTCTGAAAGCAGAGAATACTAGTGACTGAGAAAAAAAACACAATAATGAAATTTATACCTAATTATATACCAGTGGTTTTAATTCTAATTCTGTCTATTGTCAAAAGAACAACTTTACTCTTTGCTTGTCATACTGAAAGACTCCCAAATTCAAAAAATAATATTATCTTCTAAGATTGTATTAAGATACGAAATCCCTATCAAGGAACTCTTCATTAGGAATCCTTATATTTGGGGCTGGCATTGTGGCTCAGCAGTGGAGTACTTGCCTGGCACATGCAGAGGCCTGGGTTCAATCCTCAGCACCACATATAAATAAATGAAATGGGGGTACTGTGTCTAACTACAAGTAAAAAATAAATATATATTTTAAAAAGGAATCTCTAAATTTGCCTGTTGTGGTAGAAGTACATCCTGAAAACCCAGTCCTGAGGCAGGAAGATCTCAAGTTCAAAGTCAGCCTCAGCAACTTAGCAAGACCATAAATCAAAATTTAAAAAAAAAAAAAAAATTTGAAAGGACGGGGTAAAGCACCCATGGATTCAATCCCCAGCAAAGGGGGGGGTCCCTATTTCTACAACACCAGATTGGGAGGAAGTCCACCACAATCATCAGTTTATTCAATATGCAACTTCAAAAATCAAGACAGGCACACTCGCCACCTGTAATCCTAGCAGCTCAGGATGCTGAGACAGAAGCTCAAAGCCAGCACCAGAAAAAGCGAGGCCCTAAGCAACTCAGTAAGACCCTATCTCTAAAAAAATACAAAATAGGACTGGGGATGTGGCTAAGTGGTCGAGTGCCCCTGAGTTCAATGCCAGGAACCCACAACCCCAAAAAATAAATAAAGTCAAGATCAGAATCTTGGCAAACAACTTAGCATCTTCACCAATCCAGTGGTATGTCAGCAAGTGATTCTGAAACCTGATAATGTCCTTCTGTGTCCTTCCTTTCCTTGTGCACACTTTACAAGGCATAACTTCATTCACTTCCTGCCGGAAATTACTCTGTAATACATATAACATGGCAACAAGTAAGTGCCAAGTACTAATCCAGTAGCGGTTGAGAGCTGGTGACTCCAAATTGACAAGCATTTTGCTGAATGTTTACAGGAATTCTAGAACTAGTCACTTTAAGTATCTTGACAACTTCCAGGAAACAATAAATTAACCTATGTTTCTTCTTCATCAATGTTATACTATTGTCATTTCTTAGGAACTTTTCTCCAGAAGAACAGGAGTTACAACACGAAAGATACTGTTTCAATTTACCTACCAATAAAATTCCTTTCACCTGAAAAAATTAGCAAACTTTACAAAAAAAAAAAAGTTTATGCTTCTGAATACAGGCAAGAGTGCAGGCTTTAGGGCAAGTGTCAAGTATGTTGGTTACGTCTGAGCCCCCAGACTAAGACCGGATGGCAACCACATCCTTGAAAATCCAGAAATGTGTGTCAATATCACTAAACATGGACAAAAAAAAAATTATAGAAATAAAAGGCCACATTCTTTCTAAGAAGAAAAAAAAAAAAAACAGTGTCACTGGGAGAAGCCTCCAACCTTGTCCTCTTTACTTGAACGCAAAGACCCAGGGACAAGAAGCTCCTGGAGGGAACTCGCTTACCCAAGACACCAGGGTTCACTACCACCTCACACAAAGACCAAGGGGAAGGGCGTCCGGGATGCCTGCTCACACGGTGGACAAATGCAGGCACACCCTTACACACTCCCCCATCTGCTACTCACCTTCTCCCCTACACCGCCTCTGCCCCCAGTCTCCCCCGTGGTGCCCACACGCTCCCCTCGCTCCGTCACTGCCTCCCTACGCTCTCCCCCACGCTCACTCACCCCGTACTTTCTCCCCCCACCCACTCTCCCCTCCC